CGGTATATCGTTCACAGGATTCAAATATATTTACGAAACACGGGGAAAAAACAGCGAATTCATCTGTTAACGTAGGATGACTATAACTAATTTCCCTTCAAGTATACAACGACTTCTGTAACGCGCATAATTTTTTTAATGATTGCCCACCAGATTTTATAATTGCCCACTATTGCTACCCATTATAAATAATTTAGCTGGTGAATTGCCACCTAGTTAAAAATTCCTGGCTACGCCACTGATAGTTATTATTGAATGTGAAAATTGGACATTATTATTTGATGATATTGAAAGTGATATGTCTCAACAAGATAAAGATATATATCCATAATTTGCTCATGCTCATGTTGATCTAACTAATAAAAATTATATGATTATCTTAATAAACCAAATATATTTTTATTTTGTCCAACAGATTATTTCTAGCAAAAATAAATCGATATTTTTAATTGAATTAATTATTTATTTTAGTTTATTGTAGTCGAATGGCAAAACCATCTATTGAAAAATCTTCCTATTTACAAACTATTGGTGATGGCCTACATACTGATATTGACATTTTTTGGACAGGTAATTATTATTTATTCAATCATACCTTTTTTTTGTGTACTCAAAAAGTTCATATACACTCTAGAGATCGGTCAGTGTGTTCGGTCGGCCGTTTACACGATAACTTTTGAAAGGAGAATACGATCTTGATGAAATTTTCTACACAGTATCATTTTATCAATGTCTCGGTTGAGAGAAGAAGATGAGAATGATTCGTCGAGCCATTACTGAGTTATCGTAAAAAAAACGTCATTTTTGCCTGTGCTTTTCTATGCGATTATTGACCTATGTCAGCTTTTGTAAAAAGAAACATTTTTCTCTCATAATCAAACAAAAGCTCAGCTATAATATATGCCATTCGATAGAGAATTCCACAAGCTATAAAATGATGTATAAAACATTAAGAAAGAAGATGGCTAAAGTCACCTATTGCAAAAATACTTAAAGGGAAATTGATTCTGTGTTTTTACTTTTTGAAGTATACATTACACCTCGGATTTAAATCCGAGATTTTCACATTTATTTCTTTTACAATAGATTTATACTTCTTTTTTATTTTCATATTCAATTAAAATAATATTTTATTGATAAGAGGAATCATCTACTATTTATACTGTAGTTTATGTGTATTATTCTATTCAATGACTTTTATTTTACTAACATATGGAAAATTTCAATAGAATTTAATCTCATAAGAGTTATAGTTTAACTTATAAAAATTTAACTTATATATTCGCCTCTTTTCTTTTTTTGTTATCTAGAAAAACAAATTTAATATGAAACTATTTGAAATCGAGAATTTTTATAGAGATAGATCTATTTATTAATAGATTATCATTAAAATTTCAGTTTGAACAAAAAAAAAATGCTTTATATGGCAAGAATATAAATATCTTTGAAATGATTTATATTACATGAAAGATCTTACAATATTCTCTTATTTAGAATTTTGATATCTTGCCGAATAAGGGGTGTGAGTGTCAGTATTGATTTCATTATAGATTTTTTTCTGTATGAATATCCACAGTCTGACTGAATGCTTTCGTTTTTTTGTTTTATTTTTTGTAAATAAAATATTTTTAGTAAAGAATCAAAAATAAAAATGTTTATAAAAACAAAACCAAAAAAGTTTTTAGGTCGAAAAGTGGTATCTCTCGACGCGTATAACAGTGTCTAATTTATTATCGATAAATAATATATATATTAAAACGTCGTATTATTATTTGGGATAATTTAAATGCAAATGATTATGATCAACGTCGTTTATGTATAGGACCATATTCAGGTCGTTCATTAAATATTTCAAAAGAAGTACGTGAAATATTATCAAATTCAAATTGTGAATTTGAATTAAATTTTGTTCCATTGCATAGACTTGGTCAATAGTTTAAATTAATAAATATAAATGAAAAAGAATATCAATTTGATGATGATGATGATGATGATAATAATAATCAAGATTTTCTTCACACATCTTCTACATATGAAGTTGATAAAGTATTTCACAAATCATTAATTAATTGATTACCAGAATTTAATAAAATAAAATCAGCGCTAATGATTTACAACAAATTTTAAAAGTAATTTTAAAATTTATTCTTTTATTATTTAATTAATATCTAAATAAAATATATGAAGATTGATAATTCTCCATAAGGTATGAGTCCAAAATGATTAATATCATCAGTTAACACCTGATGAAGATTGTCAATAATCAATAAATAAAAATCTAATAAGTTGTTCATCATTATCATCTTCATCAAAAAGGCATATAATGTGGAATATGATCATAATACAAATAATATTTATTTAACAATTTATATGATATTCGTGTTACTTGTTGAATTATTTTATTTATCTTATCAACATGGACAAAATGTTCAACAAGTATTTATGGATTTGTTATTGGCTTAGATTTAATTATAATCGAAATAATAAATGTAAGGAATAAATTGTTATTTTAGTTTTTTTTTAAATATTTATTTAAGTTAAATGATTTTGGCGTCGTCGTGCATCAGTATTTAATGAAACAATGTAAAATATGTATCTCGTTTACTTGAAAAAATTAGTATCTTTAAATAATTGTGCTTTACTTTATGATATTTATAATTATATTAATGATATTAATTCAACATTTATTTATTGTTCAAAATATCTTTATTGGATTGTTTAATACATTTATTATATTTAAGGTTTTTTTAATTATTTTATTTATTTAAGATGATAATCAAAAACATTCATCGGTATTTATGTCAGGTGATGAAGAATCATGGTCAAAACGAGGTGGTATCGCTGGAGATTTTCTTGCTTGTTTTGTTTTTCTTTTAAATATATCTTGAATAAATAAATAATTCTTTAATAGGATTTAATTCCAATAGGTAATTTTCAATCTTTAATTAAACCAGAATTGAATTCATTATAAAATATAAATTTTTATTCGACCAATAACTTCAAATGATCATGTTTGTTTTATTTAAAAATAAAATAAATTATTTTAATTTATTTTTTGTTTTAGACATCTATTTATACATTATGTACAACTATTTCTTATCAATATGATATTGATCATCTAATTAATCAATATTCACAAATTTTAGCTGATAAGTTCGTTCTTTTTTTTTTTCTTTTTTTTCCTCTTTTTAATTAGAAACTCAAAACAAATATCACAATAAGTTAATTTCGACTGTATTCATTCAAAATAGAAAGACTTTCTTTTAAAATTAATTTATTTCTTACAAATCTTAACCATAATTCCATATATGTTTATAAGAATAACAAACTAAATTTCAGTATATTTACATGATTAATTTTAAAGATAGAAGTCAATATATTATTTCTCCATTCAGAAATAATCACACTTACGTTAGACATAAACAAAAACGTGAAAGAATGGAGAACGATTTGTTTGCAGATCATCAGGACGAGATGAAAATCAGTTTCATCTTGCAAAAACAATACTTCTCTATACATTACTAAACCATTTTCGATATTCATAAACAATTTTTCTAAACACAATGATAGTTGATTGTATCAGATAGTTTACTAATTCTGTCTGTCTAATGTACATATCTTTCAGTGATATAGCGCACATTGCATTGTCCATAACCATAATCATCGCGTTCATTCAATGTGAAATCGACATATTTTCAGAGTAGATTGATCTTCTTCTCAAGAGTTTAAAAATCATACAAAAATATGTCTGAAAATTTTCTGTGCTTGATACTTCCTGAAGATCACACAGACATAATCCTATGCATAAGGCACTAGATTTGGTATCCTCTGCCTATAGGATTTACACAGTAGTTCATAGAACTAAAAGAAATTTTCTACCGCATTAAAATTTCACGAGCTCAAGATTAATCCCAAAATATGGGTGAACAAAGTCATGTCTTGGAGTATTTTCATCGACGGTATCAATGAAATGATATAGACTCCGGATAGGATAAATACTCTCATGACTTATCTTGACTTTTCTATCGAATCAAAGAATGAAGGCACCACGATATTGAAAGGATACATTTAAAATTCGTCTTCAGATAATCAGTTAGACTTAGTAGAAATCATTCGATTCTACGATATATGGATTATGTATCGGTAGTACAACTGGTATACCAAAGTAATAGCAACGACTGGGTTTATATGGGTGACAAAGTTTAGGTCGTACCAGCGACTGTCGAATCGAACGATGAACAATATCAGAGAATATTTTCAATGAAAACTTGAGTTCTGGACGAAAATGCTTTAAAAACCGAGAGAATAAAGTACAGTTTCATTTGTTATTTATATACTGTAAGAGTGTATTGAAAGCAGATCAGTTGTATTTGTTTGAACGGATCTAAAAAATATGAAGAACTTTTGATACAATACATCATAATATAGACAAGAGTGAGTAAAAAAATCGCGGTCTTTCGTTTATGTGTCTAACACATAGTAGTAGCAAGAACATCGGATGTCAACATCTGACTTTCATCTAGATCGAATCATATCAATTCTAGTTTTTTGGTATTGCCATGAAAAAGTAGTTTGGAGAACATGATGATTATGTACAGTGTTACGATCGTATTGTTCCCATACAATCGTAAGACGAAGAGGAGATACCCTTTCTAGTACAGTGGTTAATACGTCTGCCCGATAAGCAGGAGGTGCATGGTTCGATTCCATGCGAAGGGGGATTCTTTTTCTCCGTTCTGTCGTCATTCGAAGATAAGAGATATACCAGTTTTCACTCCAAGATTTCCTTTAAAAATCTGTAGAACAGTGTATTTGGTTCATCACTTAGAATTATTTTGTATACTTCAGTGCATATCAAAAATTTTTCAAAGTCGAGTACATACTGTAAAATATCCTTTTTGCCAANGATAATCTTTTCTGAGTCATTTTAATACCTACATTTCACATACCTTGACATTTCAATAACTTGCTCTAGGTATGCTATGGGCACGTAATATTTTAAATTTGTTAGTTTTACAGTGAGAGCTTTCATTTGACCCGAATATATTCAATCTCCTTCACTGACAGTACGCGACCTTCCATTTTTAGATATAAGATTAATGTTGGCATGACTAAGCTGATTTTACTATAAAAAATTATCTATTTATTATCTATACTTATCTAATAAAATTAATATTAAGTTAATAACTAATTAAATCAATAATAATTATGAATTAAGAAAAGAATTTTAATGATTGACTTTGAGCAAAACAATAATTAAAATAGCGTTTCAATTATCCTGATGACTGTCGAAGATTATATTAACCATTGTTTGAATGAAATTCTCCTGAACTGAACAATATTTGTTTCAGTCAAATAACTCATCTTCTATTTGTATCTAACAAGAAAAAACTTTCTATGAAATATTTCAAATTGATTTTGATATGTTTAATAATATATAAGTTTCGAGTTCTTCATGATTTTTCTATTGAAAGAAGGTCATAATTCGTTATATTTCTGTTAGAAATTGATTTTTAGTATTTAGATATCTTGAAAATAAAAAAGATTCAAACGAATAAATGAGCTTATTTATTTATTTTTTTCATGTTTTTGCCTTGATTTAGTCTGTGTTATTTGTCATTAATGTCTTTGTATATTTAAGTTTGATTAATAATGGCTCAAGCTAATTATATGATTTTTAAGTCAAAATCGTTAATTCCAAGAGAAATTTTAACAACTAGTGATCAATTAAATAGTGGATTACCTCCTAATCAACAATCTATCCAACATGAAGAAACATCTTATGTTAATAAAACAGATTATTCTAATAAACATATTCGTACATGTCAAACAACTAAACATCAATGTCAGTATTTATTTATATAATTCTTTCTATTCTCTATTCAGTTTATTATTTAGATAAATTACCGATGAAAATAAATTATAGAATATCTTCAAGTATGCCATTAACTACTAATAATACAGAAATAAATTAAGGAGCAAATATTTCTATTGATTTACGTTGTTCTTCAAATAAATTTATAATCGAGAGGAGATTTTCTAAATAAATAAATTTATTTATCTAGTTTCATATAAAAATTCCCAAACAAAGAGAATTTCAAATCAATTTTCAACGACAGATAATATCAATAATTCAACGAATATATCCTTTCAAAGAATAAATTCTCGACGAAGACGAATATCACACTTAATTGAGTATGATATTGTAAACAATAACATTAAATTCTTCTTATCTGATGAAATAATTTTAGAAATTCTGCTGAATTAACTCGTGAATGTGTTATTTGTTTATTAGATGAACCAATTTATTTTTTTGAAGGATCTTATAGTAATCAATGTAAACATTCTCAAAGAACAGTATGTGATACATGTATTTATAATAATATTAAAATTCTTGTTGAAAATACGATAAATCCTAATATAATTTGTCCTGAACCTGATTGTATGGCTATATTTACTTTTGAAAGTATTCGTTATATTCTTCGTATGGGAAATAATTTAGAATTATTTGAACGATATGATCGACAATTAACACATAAACATCTTGAACAAATTCAAGAATTTGTTTGGTGTGCACATAATGGATGTGGTTCAGGACAATTACATAATATGGATAAATATTTAAATCCAATTGTTAATTGTATTAAATGTCAAAAACAAACATGTGCTTATCATCGTATTAAATGGCATTTTGGAATGACATGTCAACAATATGATCAATTTAATATATCATCAATTGATAATAATACACAAATATGGATTAGAAAACATTCAAAAAAATGTCCAAAATGTAAATCATATATTGAAAAAATATCTGGATGTGATCATATGACATGTACTATATGTAAACATCAATTTTGTTGGCAATGTTTTTCTGATTATAGAAATATTCAAATTTATGGTCGTAAACAACATATGAAATATTGTACACATTATTATGCTTATCATCATTCAAATAATCATTTTTATAGACAAAGATTAATAAATTGTACAATTTTATAAAATGAAACATATTTTCGTTTTCGACATAAACATATATATATATATAAACAAATAATTTATACTTATAATTTTCTTTTTTTTTTAATAAACCATTAAAAAAAACAACAACACATTTCCATGTAGAATAATGAATAAATGTTTTTATTTGAAAATTGAATTTATTTAAGTTAAAAATAATGAAAGGAAACATTTTTATTTTCTATTATTAAAACATTAAACAAATCGTTTAAATTTTAGTGATCATCTCACTCGATAGAATATATTATTTTCAACAAATCTTTCAACATTATATTTCAAATAGATTATTAATATTAGTATAAACATAATGATAATAATTTCTATTGAATTGTTAAAATTCAATTTTCTAGTTTTCTCAAGATAAAAATGAATTCTTGTGAGTTGAGTATATGCTCTTAAAAATTAATGTTAATATAAGAGTATTTTATATAGTATGTAAGATAGAGAATTTTTCTTCAGGAGGATAATAGTTGAGAATTAAGACATGATGATATTTTCTGAGTATATCCTAAAAACTGAATGTATTCATAAGTCCGATTGGTTCTATAAAATATTGATTCTCGAATCTGTCAATGCACAGAATTTAATTCTGAAATAAAATATTGCATACGTTCGCTTGAACAATTATATTTCTTCTAAAAGTTTAAAATTTATACTGAAAATTGGAGAATTTTCTATAGAATATTAAAAAATGTTTCAAAGTTTAGTAGAATTTATTTTAAAAAATGTCTATAATGTTTTGAATTTTTTTATTATTTTCCTATTTGTATGATTGAATTGATATTAATTTCGTTATTTTTACATTGGCAGGAACAATCTGTGTAAAACGTTAAGTTGAAAGTTTTGTAGAAAACAAAAGTGAACTATTTACGATAGGGTTAGTCGTTAAATAGTAATTAAGATGAAATATATGACTATCGATGGTGAAAGAACTGAAAAAGACTAGTCTCGACATTTGTTATGTTTTCTCTCGAGAAATTTGTTTTCATTGGTTCTTGAAAACAATCTACTTAGATTTTGAAAAATAATTTTTTTTCACGACTAATTCTTGCCGAACAAATTGATAGTGACTGTATAGTCAAGTTTTAACCTTGATCAACTCTAAAATTGATTGAAAACTACGATTAAATCAAACTATATTAAAGTAAAAGAACAATATAATTACATAATTAGGTTAATATAATTAAATATCGTGTAAAACATCTCTATTTTTTTTTGTCAAACATAATCAGATAAATATATATAGATATATTGAGGTAAGAATTATATTTAAATAGTTTAATAGATTGAAAAGTTAAAGAATATTTTTTTATTTTCACTCAAAAATAATATGATAAAAGAATAAAATAAATACAACAAAAAAAAACAAACCATGCTTAAAATGCATTAGTAAAATCTTGATAATTACTATAAATATGTTGTCGATATAATTAAATAAAATAAAATCTTATTTTTGACATTGTTTTTGTTCTACAATAATATCTTGATGAACAGTTGCTAATATATTTGTTATGGTTGAACATTCTCGTTCGATTATTTTAGAATAATTTTCTACATTACCTAATTCCTATTTAAAATAAAGATAATATGTTTTTTTTTTTTATTAATTTAATTTAAAATGATAAAATAAACTTTAAGTGTAATATTAAATTGTCGAATAAGATGAATCCATGATTGAGATTGTTTTAAAAGAAGATTTGATTGTGAATTTAATTGTTTAAATGATTTATCAATACGTTTTTCATTTTCATAACATTGACATATTCTAATAATATATTTATTAATTACAATAAATAAATATAAAGATTTACTTTAATTTACTCATCATTAACTTGATTGACTAAAACATTGATTAATTGATCAATTGATAAAAGTAATTCTTTTTTTTTCTTTTCTAATATAAATCATAAAAGAATTTTAAGATTTTTTTTTTTAATAAATTTATTTTAATAACCTTGTTTCTCTTTTAAAGATAAAACACCTTCTATATGTTGATGATAAATATTCGAAATCATCTTTAACAATCAAATGATTCTTCAATTTATCATCACCATTAATCTATTTTATCAATAAATAGTTTCATTTATTTCGATAATCGATGATGAACTAATTCTTAGATGTTTTCCATTCTCAATTAATTTTATTAGAGGACGCCACTTGATGAAAACAATATTTAGAGAAATCGCTTGAACAATTTATTAATAATTTAAAAAAGTCAATATATTTCATCTTCGACAAGTCTCTTCTAAAGTTTTCATGCAGTTATTTTATATTCATTAGAAAATACTTATTCACAACTTCATACAAATATTGTTCTCCAGTAAAATAATAATCTTAATAAATAAATAAATAAATGATAAAAATGATTTTTTTAAAAATAATTTTAAAATATGAATATCAATGATATATACAAAATATTAGTTGACTATTAAAATGATCTGATGAAAGTGTTAGTTTTTCTTTTATCAACTTTATATGACGAAAATAATATTTAATAACTAATAAGATTTATTTTTATTTTATATTAAATAAGTTAAAATAATAATATGATCAAAATAAAAATAATGGTTTTAAAAAATGAATGAATATATTTATCTGAAATTTATATCTCTCTGCAATATTTTCTTCTCAATTCATATACAATAAATAGTTAAAGTCGATTGTCTTATACAGACAACAATCACTACAATAGATTATTATTTTCTAAACATTCTCTTCAAATAATTTCTCCAGTATTTTCAATTTTGATGAAAACGAATCATATAAATGGAAATTTTATAATATGAAATCTCATCGGAGATAGAAATCCAACTATGACTAACCTTTGATCATTTTTCATTCGTTTTTCTTTAGCATAATTAATGTCATTAGTTTAAGTATTATCAATATAGATAGGTTAAATTTGACGATAGCTAGATCATAACGAAGTCGAATATTTGCTTAGCGTCTCGTTCAATAAGATTGGTACATCCCAAACACTCATTTGCTCATTATTCAATTGAAATGATGGATTGAAGATGAAAACAAAAAACCTCCATATTCGTATTTATTATTAAATTTATATTAATGTTAGATTTTCAATACATCGAAGTAAATTTTGTGTTCACTACAAAAACTTAAAATATTTATTCTTTTGTTTGGATTATTTTCGATTAACTATTAAAATAAATTTTATATGTAGTGAATAAAAGAACAATATTATTTATTTATTTTTTATAGTACATCTTATGAATAAATATAATACATGTGGATTTAATACAGGAAGGAAACAAGTTAAACAAATGATTTATATAATAATCGAAAAATCGAATAATAAAGTGGGAGAAAATGTTTTCTAGCTATACAAATCCAATAACGAATGAATTTTCATATTGTTTTTCAAAAAAAGTCAATAAAATTGTGTATAAAAACATTATTGATATATAAATAAAACTAGTAAAATTGAATTTATGTGTATCATATCAGATGAAATAATAAATATAGTTTTTTTTATATTGAAAATAACTAATGAAACAAAACGTTTGATATTACCAACCATTATAGTTAATGAAAAACAATAATTTCATCATGTAACAGTTATTCAAATTATTAAAATTTCCATAGGAAAATTTCATATTTAAAGAAAAATAAATTTAATAAAATATGTCTGAATATTCCAAAACAAAAACATCATAGAAACAGAAACAGAAACAGAAACAGAAACAGAAACAGAAACAGAAACAGAAACAGAAACAGAAACAGAAACAGAAACAGAAACAGAAACAGAAACAGAAACAGAAACAGAAACAGAAANACGAAAGCAGCGATGGGTCGATTTTTCCATAGGAAGCTATAGGGAAAAATCGGTATTTTTGCAATAACTCAGGAACGGCTCGGCCGATCCTTCTCATCTTCGAACTCGACCGAGATATTGTAAAGACTGAACTGCGTAGAAAATTTCATCGTGATCGGACTCTCCTTTCGAAAGTTATCGTGTAAACGGCCGGCCGGACATACTGACCGATTCTAGAGTGTATGAACTTTTTGAGTACACAAAAATAGAGTTTTTTTTCTAGCATATTAATCATTCATATTGATTGCTTTATCATTAGTCAATTATTTATATGAATCTATAGGAAAAAATAATTTAACGTTTTCTTCAACATCAGTGTACAACATAGATCTTATTTTCACAAAGCAATTTCAATTTACAATTAAATCTAACAAATTAACAGTCATTATATAAATAAGAGGTTTAATTCTTTATTTATTGACAATTTATTTTAACAAAATTTGTAAATCATTCATTTTAGCCGTGATTATTTCATGAAAAGAATTTTAATATAGACTCTGATACGATATACATCAATATTCTAGAAAAACCGGAAATATTATTAATTCATTAGGAAATGAAAAACAACTAGTCAATAGCCAAAAAGTAAGGAAATTATCTTTTTTTTATTATTTCTTCTTTGTACAAGGTCAGTTAGGCATTATATTTATACTACATATACAAGGTGATATTACTGAAAAATATCGAATGTCATCAGTTATTGGATGCAATTATTTGTTCAATAGCGTAGAAATATATCTCACTGCTCGTTTGTAACTATAAGAGAAATTTGACGTTTTTTTATTTTCATAGTTTTGTCTAATTATCCCGATTTATGGAATGAATATTATTTAATTAGATTTGACCTTTCTCAGACTAAATCACTAAAAAATGTAATTAAACCGGATTTATTTCTCAGACGAGAATAAGCAGACAAAACTATGAAAGTCGACAAAAATTTTGAACAAATAATTACATTCAAAAACTAATCATATGCGACACTTTTTTTTGCTAACATCGTTCACAATATGTCGTGCAAATATAAGGTCGCACTGAGTATGTATAAATAAAAAATTGCAAAAATATAATGTTTTCTTAATTATAATTCATTCTGTATTATAAATAAATTCTGACAAGAAGAAAAATCCGTTCAGTACATTGAACATCATTTAAATAATAATTTTATTTTTTTTATATGAAATATTTAATGCAACAAAAAAAATGCTCAAATAAAAATAAAGAATAATCTATAAAAAGTAAAAAATAAAAATAAATTGCAAGAATAATGAACATTTAAGAAAATTGTGAAAATAATCGTTTATGGAACTTTTGTTGCTTCTTTCAATGGAAAATCTAATTGTTTCGACATAGATAATTTATTCAATTCTTTAATAAATCTAATTAATAAATTAAAATTTATTTTTAAAAATAGAAAGATAAAGAATAATAACTTACAATGTCATTTGTTTCTTCAATATTTAATTTAAATAATGTAACAGCTATTCAGTTAGTTTTTCGTTCTCTTGTTTGAATATCTATTGAAAATAAAAATGATTTTTTTCTTTTTTGAATAAATTAAATTTTAATAATGAAATCTTTATAAAGTTGTTCACAATGAATTTTTTCAGCTGAATAATCCAATAAAACTTGATCATCTTTGATAAATCAAATAATCAATTTCAATTATTCTTAAATCATTTAGACTTTTCATTAATTCGAAAGAAAAAGAAAAGAATTTGTTGGCGAAAATAAAATTTTCATAATAATTATACTTCATGCAATGTTCATTAGCATATTCTTGACAATTATCAATATCACGAAATATTGTTGGTGCAATAAATTTATTATCTGAACCAACAAGATGAACAACATTTTTTTGATGATCAACATTCTGAATCATAATTAAAATATTAAATTTTTAGTTTTATTCAATGTAGAAATTAAATTAAACAAGATAGATAGACAAACAAACAAACAAGAAAAACTTTTATAAAATTTATACGTATAATAGATATATTTCTAGCTTATTTCCATATTATATATTCTTTTACTAGAAAAATATTCTTTTCTTCTTATTCCGTCATTTTTAATATATTATTTTAAAAGAAGATAATCATTTATCTTTAATAAATTTCTATTTTTATTAGTGACATCTATGTGAAGTATTTTTATATATTAAACATTAATAATAAGAAAAATATTTTTTCCTTATTACATTTATGTGTAACATATGGGAAAAGTCGTCATGATACTTCTAGAAACGTAACAATGAAAAAGTTCTATTTAATATGATCAATAATCGATGATTTGTTGATGTTACTTGTATTTAATTAAGAAATGCAATTCAACCGTATGATATATATTTATTTATTTATTTAAAAATGAAAATGTTTTCTATTTTCTTTATTAAGAATTTATTAATTTATTTATTAATCTGAAAAATTAAACATTCCTTATTGGACAATGTTTTATTTTAATCAGTTATTATCTACGATAAATATTCGTTTCAATGTTGTCCTTGATATGCATGAAGTGTTTGCTGCTTGTACATAGAAAAAAAAAGAAAAATGTAATTTAACCGCTACTATAAAAGCAATCAACCATGAATAGATGCGCATTGCATATTAACAAGGATTGTTTTCCAAGCGTACAGACATATAAAGGTAGTGATTATTCTCGAAGGATACCTTCGTTTTTTTTTTTTCAAATAAAATTTGTTTTCTTGATTTGTAATTAATCATATTTAATTCAACTGATTATTTGTTAATTTTAGTAGAATATTAGGGAAGAATTAAAATTATGGTGGAACGTTTAATAATCCTTAAAAACAATAGCATAGATAGTGAAGATGGTAAGCTGAGTCAAAAGACAAATAGTCAATCATTGAATACAGACGAGGATGAATCATTATCAATTGATAGTTCTCGACAATATTCGGAAAAGATTGGTAATACATTGGAATCTGATATTATTTTATCACAAGCAAATGAACGCCGAAAACATTTATTAACAATAAGTACTCCTTCAGTTGATAGCATAAATGATCGAGATGGTTCGGCCTCTGACAATCCAATAACAGGAAAAGCTAAAAAGAAAAAACGACAATCAATCGCATCAATGGTAATTTACTTTTTTTAAATATATTTTCACTCAAAAAACAACGAAAAATATTTTTAAGATTTAAAATTAATTTTTATTTAAATTTTTTATTATTTAATTTGATTTTAATAATTTCATTGTAAATTAATTTTAGAGTGATAATGAATTTAAAAGACAACTTATAAAAAAACGTCCATGGTATACGAAAGTTGATCTTAAAAAACCAATTATATTTGTGATTATTTTATTTTTAATTTATATAATATGGATAAAACGAGATGTTTTGATAGTTCGATTATTAACATCAAATGCTCGTGTTCATCATACAGCACTTATTATTGATCAAAGATTACATGAAAAAGATGATTTATCTCAATCATCATCATCATCATCATTGAAAGATTCTTCATCTGTATCTTCTTCTCAAGATCTTCCTAATGATATTAAAAATGATGATAATGATAATAATAATAATAATAATAATAATATTAATAATAATAATAATGAGATAAATCCTGATCACATATCATTAACAGACAATGATGAAGATTCTCCAAAAACGCCTAATAAAGGCAGTACTTCACAAAAAATAAATTTACGAACTCGAAGAAATAAAATGAGTTTTACTAAAGAACGTCACAAGAAAAAACATCGTCATTTACGACGTCAAGTTGTTGATGATGATAATATTAATGACGACGATGATGACGATGATGATGATGCAGTCGATGATGATACTTTAGAAGACGTCATTGATAAAACAACTAAAATAAAAGAACCTATTTTACCATCATCTATTCGTTCATCAAAAAAGAACCATCATCATCATCATCATCAACATCAACATCAACATCAACAGGAACATCAACATCAACATCAACATCAACGTCAACAACAACGTCGTCGATCTGTTTCATCTCATAAAGAAAATGTAAAAAATTCATTAACTTCAAAATCTAATACTATTTTACCTTTACACAATGATATTGTTCAACAAATACAAAAACTTTTTAAATCTCAAGGTGGACGTCGAGATTTGTCAAAAATATTAAAAAAAGAAACTGATTTAAATCAAGCACAAATAAATCGATTTATTCACAAAAACGATTTTACTATAATTACACTTGATACTTTTATTTCTATTTTAAATTCACTTGATTCAACACTTTTACTTGTAACGAAATAATCATTTTTCTTAACTAAATTAAAAATAAATATCTCAACAAAATTTATTTCATTGATTAATAATACATCTGAGTACAGTTAATTCTTCTTGTTGTTGTCACACTGAAACAAGTCATATTCAAGTTAAATATTTTCATTTTTTTATTAATTTAAATATCATTATAGAATGAGAATATTTTAACGATATAATCAAACATTACTTCGTTTCACGACACGATTCAAAAAGCAATTTATATAAACAAACAACAAAAAACAAGTGTAAAAACAAAATCTGTTATTTTTCAAACGTAAAAATGATATTCTGATCATAATTAATAAGATGTCGCTATTTCTTTTTTTTTGAAAATATATATGATTTTATGATGATGATTTCATATAGTATAACTGAATATTTTCTAGAAAAAGAAATTTTCTTTTTCTTTTTCTTTTTCTTTTTCTTTTTCTTTTTCTTTTGACTATTTAAAAAATATAGAATAGAATAATTCCTATGATAATCAGTTTTTCTTTTCTTAATTGAATAGATATGAATAATTTTCAACTGACAAAACTTTAATAAATTATTGTTCATTGATATTAAATATTATCCATAGAAGAAAGTTAATCTTATATTGTTTGTTTAAGTTAATATAATTTTTGATTTCATCTTATCATCTTAATCTATTGTTGTTAATAGTTTAATTTATCTATGCTCTTTATTTTATTTCAATATTACTCATTTAATAGAAGAAATAAATTTCTTTACATTGAAGTGACAAAAACAAAAAAGATGCAAGATTCTATTTTTAAAATAATAAAATAATAACTTCTATAATTAAGTTAATAAAATAAATTAATTTTTCTTTTTAAGTGATTTCAAAATTTCTTTTATCAAGTGTATATCTAGGTGCAAAAAATCTTGATAAACATCGACATATAACATGTTCGATTTATGATAGTGATATAGAATTATTCGTTAATCTTATGCGACCAATATATCGTACTAATTTTATTCCATATGAACCGGATATTCAACAATATGATATTCAAAGTATTTTTTTTAAATTTTAATATAAAATAAAATTCTTTTGTTCTATATAAATAAATGATCGAAAATTTGAATTTTTTTCATTTCCGATTGCTGATCAATCGATTTGTCGAGATGATAAAAAAGTATTAGAATTTTGTTCTAATTTATGTAAGAGAATTAAAAAAGATCATCAAAAGATTCTTATTCATTGTTGATAAAAAGTTTCTTTAAGTTTTCTCTTTTAAAAATAATTTATTATTTAATAAAATAGGGGTGGAAACATGGAAGAACTGGTACAATCATATCTATTATTATTGGCATGTTATTTCAATTCGAAGGTAGAGATTTAAGGAATTTTTATTTTTAAATATATATTATTAATTAAATAGGAGATGATGCTTTGAATTATAATTATCAATTAAAAAGACAATGTTTGAGATCGAAACGAAGAACAAGACGACTTTCATCTTGTATATTTAATAAAAATATTTGTCATGTTGTTTTTTTTGATAATATTCTATTCATAGGTCAATGTCAACAAGTACGAAACGTATTAAAAATATATAATGATCAACAAGCATCTTTCATTGTTTCATCAATTGAAAAACAAACATTCGAATAATTTTATTTAATTATAATTATTAATAAAGTTAAATAAAAAATCTATTTCAATTAAACTTAGTTCATTATTGATATATTTTCTTAGTAAAATGAAAATAATTATAAAAATTATCATCAATTGATTTTTTTTTTAATTTCTAACAAATATTATTCTACAGGATATTATTCAGAAAGTTATTGACCAAAAATAAAATTGTGTATCTTCACTATATTTCTATTAGATTAACTTTTTTGTCGCATACTTATTATAAAAAGAAATTTTCAACTTTTTATTCATCAATATAAAGTTATCAAAATTCTTCTACAATTTAGTACTTTCAAATTCAATACACAATAAAATCTTTTTTCAAATTTCATAAAACACAATACACGTATGCAGGATTTTTTGTTTTCTTGAATCTTCGCTTTTTTTTCAGTATTATCAGCTTCTAGTCATTAAGATTTATTTCTATTTCTTCGTAAACATTTGTTGAACACATTTAACAAACTAGATACACATTGATCTCAAGTTTAATATTTGTAGAAACTCTTGAATTATATCGGTTTTCTCAATTTATCTTTCATTAAAATATTAGATAAGGAACAAATATATCGTTTTGAAGAGATGTATCAATCATTCTGGATATTTCAGACTTGTTAAAAAAAGGAATTATTTATAAAAGAAAATAAATAGACCCGGATAACTGAAAGTTCACAATAATAAAACAAAACTGAAAAAATTCAAGAAAAAAAAATCCTTCATATTGTTTTTTGCAACACAAAAAAACGACCTTTATTCTGTATTGAGTCTGAATAGTACTACTTTGTAGGAGTATTTTAGAATTTTATATTGATGAATAAAAACTTGAAAATGTTCTCTATTATAAGTACAAAAACGAATTTATCCAACAGAACCATAATCAAGATATATAATTTTACTTTTAGTCAACGATTTATCGAAAATCGTGTGTATACAATTGAAGTTGTACTTTATCTTTTCATAAATCGTCTGTTTATCAAGTTTACAGCATTAGCACTCATATAACACAGCCAGTTTTGTATGATAGTATTTATTTTTGACAAATTAGAGTGATCTATAGAGAACCGTTTTACTGACGATTTGCTTTCTATTGGTTTCTCGTCTTCCAAAAGGGTTTCAAAGCAAACAGAATTTACATCAGAGCTTATCCCTCCTGAAGACCTTTATACATGTTTTATTAAAAAAACTATTATTCTCTCAAAAAAGCCTTCCGTACCCAGAAAAATGAGGTCTCAAAATTTCTTCAAACGACCTACCTACTTATTCGAATTCGTCATCATTGAAAACTTCTATTCGAATTTTATGAGGAATATCGATGTTGTCATCACTACGCCTACTGATCTGTCTGTCTGTCTGTACGACTGGAAGTGACTTGAATAAGAGTAGGACCACCACCATAATTATATCAACACTCCTCACGTATATTCACACTCAGTGCACATATAATCAATCCATAATCACACACAAAAATCATCTCTAGTACAGATCTATTTTAATCAATGTATCTTTGAGTATGTTATTATGACATTCTTGTCTATATATTAGCAGATTTTCATTTCATAAAACGGTGTTTTTACTCAAAATACGAATGTTAAAATTGTTTTAATTCATTTATGAAATAATTTATTTTTTGTTTTTTCAAAAAAAACCCGATTAAAAAGATAGTCTTCTAAAGGTTATGGAAAAATTTGTTTCTTTTTTAACAAAACAACTCTTTAAAAAATGCGTTTAAATTGAATAAAATTAAAAGTCATTTGAACGATATTCTAAATAGTGTTGGTTAAAATAAAAAAAATTCTATCATAAATATGTTTAAAGAATGTTTTTAGATAATATTTTAACTTGAAAAAAAAAAGCCTTCTGAACAAAACGAAAAGATGCGTTTAAATGCAAAAATAGCGTTTTTTTCTAAAATTAGACGTTGAAGTCCTGCTTTGCACAAAGAACACTCTAATGAGTTGTAGAAATTAGCGCTTATAATGTACCAAGCAGTAAAACAATTTGACTGTTAATGTTCTGCACAATTGAGTATGGATCTTGTTAATTTTTTTCCTGTTGAATTAATAAAGAGTATCTAAGAAAATAAAGAATTCATTCTCTTGGTTTTTTTTTCTTCTCTTTTTACCAATAAGTGAATAAAAACAAAAAAACAGAAAAGAAAATAGTGAACAGATATAGTAGTCAACGAAAAATCTAATTATTCCTGGATATTGAATAAAGGAACATCCTAATATAGAACAAAGCAATACAGGTCATCAAATGAATAAATAAATATTTAATTATTTATTCAAAATAAATAGTAAAATTATTAGATTATTTTCTATATAGATTTCAAATAATTAACCATTATATTTTGAAATATGTGAAAAAAAATAGAAATTTTTCATTTAAGGAGAAAAATCAGTGATGCCGTGTTTTTTTTTTGACTTCTCGAAAAGAATTGTTCAGTGATTTATGAAAGGTAATTTTTTCTATTTTTTGATATCTTATAAATGAAACATAATTTTTTCGCTTAACATATTATATTATGTAATTTGATGTTATTATGAGAATAATTTTCCATTTGTTTAACTGAATAATAAGAAAATGCAAACATGTTTTATTTGCATAAATACAGAGAGAATCAAGTTTTTTGAAGGACAAATAATTGACAGTTAGAAAGATTAATCGTCTGGTCTTGTTTTAGTTATTGAAAATAATTTAGATCGCTGATTTACTTTGTAAAATAATTCAATTATTTATTATTTTTCTATTGATTAAGATAATATACATATATATATTTAACAAAAAATAAAATATCATCTTGCCCAAACAGATAATTAACTTCTTTTTTTCTTTGAAATAAATCAATATTTTAGTGTCAGTTCAAATTTTGTTAAAACTAAATCATTGAAATTTATAGAAACAAAATATTTTTTTGTAAATATAAAGATAAAAAAAAACTGAAATATTTTCTTTAATTCGTAAATTCTAAAGTAATTTGATGGTAATATTTATATTTATTTTAAATCAAAAAATAAATAAAATAAGTCAATTTTACGTTTTAATTCAATTAAAATGAAGAAAATAACTATGATATTATATTATTCTCTCTAAATATTTAAAATCGTTCTCTTGACATGCGCAAAACACTTTTATCAGTAATGTTATCTTCTTGAAAAGTTTCATTGAAATATCCATTGGTTTTTGATCTTGTTAATTCCTTAAGAATAATATTTTTATTTGATTCGACTGATTTTAAATGAGCATATAAACCATAATGATTAACGATTTTCTTTGGTCCCCAATCATATCGAGGTGAATTATTTTGTGTAAATGCTTCTATATATCGACCTTTTTCAAAATATTTATTATAATAATGATTATCATTTTCAGTTAAGGAAATAATTGTTCGAATCTAATTTATTCCATAAAATAAATAATTATAATAAATAAATAAATAATTAAAAACTTACTGTTCTTCTTCGACCAAGTCTAAAATATTCTCTAATATAATTTACAATAAAAACCAACGGAATAGGTATTATACAAGCAACAAATATACACCAACCAACAATTGCACTCCAATAAGGATACACATATGATTCATAACCACCACCACCACTATTTGACATTCGTTTTGCACTTAACAAATTTGACAATATTATTACCTTAATAAATAGATTTTATTTTATTGAAAATAAAAAATAAAATATTTTTCTTTTTCTTTTTTTAAAGTTTAAAACTAACCAACATAATGATTGGAGCTATGATACACCATGTTAAAAATAAATAATATTCAGCTACACGTTTTCCTAACATCATCTTAACATCATTCATAAATCGATTAAATCCTTTAAAGAAAACAATTTTTTTTTTTTTTTTTTTTTTTTTTTTTATTAAAAATAATAACAATTAAAACAAACCATATATATAAGCAATTGTATATACTTCAAAAAATCCAATAACAATCATTGATAAATTTGCTGCATATTGATTTAATAATTCAAATAAATAAATCCCACCCTAAACATTCTAATATATAATATTCAATTTAATAATAATAAATAATAAATACAAACTGGACAAGTAAATGGTAAACTTATTAAAAATGAAATAATACAAGTTATTATTACTGCGGATTGTCTATTAGATTTTAATTTTGGAAATAATTCAAATATTGATGTTATTGGAACATCTGTTAAAGCAAACTAATTATAGATTAATTTTAAAATAATTATTTTATAAATTAAATATATTTTCAAATAACCTGTGAACCAAGTCCAAGTGATAATAACATTAAGAAAAAAAGAATCGAGAAAAATGAACTAGCTGGCATATGTCCTATAGCTTCAGGATAAGTTATAAATGCTAAACCAGGACCAGATGCATCGGCATATTTTGAAACTGGTTCATTTAATTCTTTTGACAAATATCCAATCGTGGCAAATACAGCAAAACCAGCAAATACACCAGTTAGACAATCACATGATACAACAATACACATTTGTCTAATTAATATTAAATTTAATTTCAACGAAAATTAAGACAAAATAACTAACCGAAAAAAATTATTTTTAAATTTATTTGATGCTGAATAAGCCATTAAGGAACCAAAACTGAGGCCAAGTGAGAAAAATACTTGAGATGCAGCTGCTTGCCAAGTCTATTACAGAATATTATTTTCAATTTCTTTTTTTCTTTTTTTTTAATTATCTTTTTAACAAAAAACAAAAACAAAAACAAAATGAATTTTTAACTAATTATATAATATAATATCTCACGATATTTCATCCATAATAATATACTAGTCGAGATTGTTTAAATAAAATGATATTTCTTTATAATAATCATAGAAAAATACATTTTTTTTACTAATAAAATTATATTAATTTTACCGAAAGAAAACAAACTCAAATATCCATAAATATGCTAACAACTGATAATAGTCTAGGGAAAATATTTAAGAATAAAACTAAACAAAGAGAATAAACGTTTCTTTA